ACACACACACACACACACACTGACGCACACACTGACACACACTCACAAACACACAGACACAGAAACACACACACACACATGCAGACACAAAAACACACACAAACATACAGTACACACACAAACACACACACACTCATACACTGACACACACACACACACACACACACACTGTCACATACTGACACACACACAAATACACACACTGTCACACACACTGACACACACACACACACACAGGGACAGACACACACACACTCACACACACTCATACACTGACACACAAAGGGCCCATAAACACAACATCCAGGAGGAATCATTGATTGGTTTTTGGTTTTAAACCTTTTATTGGAAGAAAAAAACGTTTTTTGTGCATATTCTCTTTAGTTTATCATCAAATCGTAAAAGTAAACATGCAAGTTCAAAATTAAAAGAGTAAAAAAGAGAAGAAAGAGGAAACCTGGATATGTTTTTCTCCTCCAAACAGGAGGAAACATGAGCTCTAATGAGAGTATTCGTAAACTAAAGGACGATATTTTACGTGTATAAATCTGAGATTGATTCATTTATTTATCATTTATTTTGAACAACATCCAACTAAGGTGACCGAAGCTTTTCAGTGTAAAAGTTTAATCACAAAAGAAACACAAAAAACACACAAAAAAAAGCCAATTCACTCAAGGGTATTAAAATCCTTTAAAAAAAACACAAGTTTTTATCTTAAAGTTAAAGATTCTGTGGTCGGAGTTGAGGAAAAGGCCCTTTAACTTAACCTTTGACCTTAATTATCTTCCCTCAAACAGCATCCAAACATTCAAACGCACAACTGGCTGTTTATGAGTCGGTTTAAAATCCCCCCCCCCCTCATGACGAGTCTGTGAGCTGTTTGCTGTAAAGTGTGGATTTCCCCACTGTGGGATCCTGAAATGCGCCTAATCTCTCCCAAACATGTGGCTGCACTCCGGGCGGGGCCTGAACCACAGACCCTCCAGTTCTGGAACTAAAATAAAAAATAAAATCAGCTTTTTTATGTCTTTAGGTGAAGCAAAATCATTGAAAATGAGCTTTTTAGGTTTTTAGATGAAGGAAAATCATTGAAAAATCACATTTTTTAGGTCTTTAGATGAAGGAAAATAATTGAAAATTAGCTTTTTAGGTTTTTAGATTAAGGGAAATTAATGAAAATAGGCTTTTTAGGTTTTTAGATGAAGGAAAATCAATGAAAAATCCCATTTTTTATGTCTTTGGATGAAGGAAAATTAATGTAAATGAGCTTTTTAGGTCTATAGATTAAGGAAAATCAAAGAAAAATCAGCTTATTAGGTCGTTGGTGGAGAAAAAACAGTGGTGTTCAAAGAGCTCAGAAATCTCATTAAATGTGCTTTCAACTTTTAAACATAGCAGATTTTCTGCTTTTTCTCTCATTTTCAGTCCAGTTTGTCAGTGTTCAGCCACTAAATTCTGAGTCATTCAGGCAGAAAAAAGGTTCCTAACTCAAGGGATGAGCCCCTCTGTGTCCCATTCAGAAAGTTCTTCCATTTCTGGAGCTAATGGGAGGAAAAAGGCCACAGCAAACCTAGTCTGACAGACAGGAAACAGGATTTCTGAGCTTTTTCAGATTTATTTTTTTACATTCTCCACTTTTTCAGTAATTTTTAGTCCATCTTTAGTCTTTATTGATTCAGAAAAAAGGCCCCTAACTCAAGGGATGAGCCCCTCTGGGTCCAACTTAGCAGATAAACTGTTTTTAGTGGATCAGAAGATAAAGATTAGTTTAAAATCTCTTGAGCCACCTTCAATTTCCTCATATTTTTTGTCAATTTTCAGTCTTTGTTGATTCAGAAAAAAGGCCCCTAACTCAAGGGATGAGCCAGCAATGTGTCAAACTCAGCAAAGAACAGTTTCTTTTTATTTATAGAGACAGTAAAAAGCCCCAAAATACACCAATACGAAGCAGCTCTGCAGCTTTCAGGGTGTTTCTGTTTTTTCTCTAATTTCCAGCCCAGTTTGTCTTTGTTCAGACTCCAAACTCTAAACTCATTCAAGGCCCCTAACTCAAGGGATGAGCCAGGGTCGTGTCTAACTCAGCAAAAAAACCAAACAGTTTTTAATCCGTTTCTAAAGCCCAGAAATTCAAACTCCCAACATAAAATCATCATTATTCTCTCATTTTCAGTGCAGTTAAAGTATTTGTTGAGTCCGAAAAAAAAAGCCCCTAACTCAAGGGATGAGCCCCTCCGCGTCCAATCACCAAAGAAAGAGTTTTTAGTGGATTAGAAGGATAAAGATTAGTTTAAAACATCTTGAGCCGCCTTTATTTTCTTCGTATTAAGATTTCTTCGTATTAAGATTTCTTCATTTTTAGCCTTTGTTAAGTCATAAAAAAAAGCCCCTAACTCAAGGGATGAGCCACTCTGTGTCCCATTCATAAAGGTCTTCCATTTCTGTATCTAAAAATCAAAAAATACCAAAGCAAACCCAGTCTGACAGACAGTAAAACCAAAAATCTGAGAGTTGCGTTTCTTCTGCCTTGCAGGTTTCTGGGAGGAGGGCGGGGCCTCTGATGGGGGCGTGGCCTCTGATGGGGGCGTGGCCTCTGATGGGGGCGTGGCCTCTGAGGGGGGCGTGGCCTCCGGGGTGGTGTGGAGCCCGGGGACGGGTCAGGCCTTCAGCCAGGGCGGCCTGCTGCTGACCAACAACTCGGTGCGGGTGCCCCGCAGCGGCCTGTACTTCGTCTACAGCCAGGCCTCCTTCCGCGTGTCCTGTAACCACGGCGACCAGATGGCGACGGGCGCCACGGCAACGGCCACGCCCCTCAGCCACTCCGTCTGGCGCCTGTCGGACTCCCTGGGGGGGAAGCGCGTTCCCCTGATGGGCGCCGTGAGGTCGGCGTGCGGGGGGGGCGGGGCCCAGGAGGAGGGCGTCGCCCACGGCAACGGCGGCCATGGCGGCAACGGCGGCGCCTGGTTCCACGCCATCTACCTGGGCGCCGTGTTCCAGCTGAACCGCGGCGACCTGCTGCAGACGGAGACCAACCAGCTGCAGGAGCTGGAGACCGAGGAGGGGAGGACATTCTTCGGGGCCTTCGCTCTGTGAGCGGGCGCCATTTGGACGCCATCAGAGGGCGCCGGGCGCCAATGGGACCCCATCAGAGGCAAACGGGCGCCATTGGGACGTTACCAGAGGCAAACGGGCGCCACTGGGACGCCAAAGGACTTTACCAGTGGCCACTGGGCACCATTGGGACGCCATCAGAGGCCACTGGGACGCCGCCTGGCGCCACTGAGGCCACTGGGCGCCATTGGGACACCAAAGGACTCTATCAGAGGGCGCCGGGCGCCATTGGGACGCCATCAGAGGCAAACGGGCGCCAATGGGACGCTACCAGAGGCCACCGGACACCACTGGAGGCCACCGGTGGCGTCCGGGGGCGCCCAGTGGCCACTGGGACGCCAAAGGACTTTACCGGAGGGCGCCGGTGCCATTTGGACGCCATCAGAGGCCACTGGGCGCCATTTGGACGCCACTGGTCGCCACTGGTCGCCACCAGAGGCCAACCGGCGCCACTGGAGGCCACTGGTGGCGTCCCAATGGCGCCCAGTAGCCACTGGGACGCCCACGGGCGCCCCTGGGACGCCAAAAGACTTTACCAGAGACCATCGGGCGCCACTGGGACGCCACTAGAGGCAAACGGGCGCCACTGGTGGCCACCGGGCGTCACCGGGCGCCATTGGGATGCAACCGGAGGCCACTGGTGCCGTCCCAATGGCGCCCAGTGGCCTCTGGTAAAGTCCTTTGGCGTCCCAGTGGTGCCCAGTAGCCTAAGGACTTTACCAGAGGCCACCGGCCATCACCGGGCGTCACTGGGACGCCATTGAGACGCCACAAGAGGCTAATGGGTGCCATTGGTGGCCGCCGGGCGCCACTGGGACGCCATCAGAGGCCACTGGGCGCCATTTGGACGCCACTGGGACGCCATTGAGACGCCACAAGAGGCCAACCGGCGCCACTGGAGGCCGCCGGGCGCCATTGGGACGCCACCGGTGGCCTCTGGTGGCGTCCTGTGGCGTCCGTTTGTCTCTGATTACGTCCCAGTGGCACCCGGCGGCTTCTGGACACCTCTGGTGACCTCCCAATGGCGCCCAGTGGCGCCCGGTTGCCACTGGTGGCGTCCCAATGGCGCCCAGTGGCCACTGGGACGCCATCAGAGGCAAACGGGCGCCATCAGAGGCCACTGGGCGCCATTGGGAAGCCACGGAACGCCATCGGGTGCTACAGGACGCCAACAGAGGCCCACGGGCGCCACTTTGATGCCACTGGGCGCCATTTGGACGAAACGGAACGCCACTGGGTGCCCCCGAGCGCCACCAGAAGCCACCAATGACCACCGGGCGCCATTGGGACGCCACCGGAGGCCACCAGAGGCCAACCGGCGCCACCAGAGGCAAACGGGCGCCACTGGGACGCCATCAGAGGTGTCCAGAAGCCACCGGGCGCCACTGGGACGTAACCAGAGGCAAACGGTGGCGTCCCAATGGCGCCCAGCGGCCACTGGACGCCACTGGGCGCCACTTTGATGCCACGGAACGCCACCGGGCTTTTTAAGAAATCTTAAATCTCAATGGAGATCATTTAAAAGCCTGTAAACTGTAACAGTTTGAGACATTATTTCCATTCGATGCACTTTTAAAAAAATATTTTTCTTATTTTTAACATCATTATTATTATTATTATTTTTTTTATTATTATCATTGTTATTATTTAAGTCGAGCTGCCGGTAAACCATCCCAGCCTGTTGGTATTTATTTGTATTTATTTGTATTTCGGTGGAGGGGGGGGGGTTTAGGGGAATGATGTCATATTTATACAAACTCTGTGAACAGAATAAAAGATCAGAAAAAGCTTTGTTGGCTTTGGTTTGTGGTTCTTATTTCAGTAACCCCCCCCCTC